AAGTCCCCTAGTTTTTTTCCTTTTTAAAAAAGTAAAAAAAAAAAAAAAAAAATAGTAGTTTTTTCTTCTTCTAAAATTACTGAAAACATCAGAGGGTTAGGTAGGATTTTACATAAATATAGATGTAAAATTCCAGCCTGTTTTCCCATACAAAGCTATTGTAGTTTCAGAAGACATAACATTGCAGAAAAGTTATTGCCTACTGCCATGCTTTTTTTTTTTTCTCCCCATTTTTGTAGGTTGACAGCCTAAAAAGCCCTTGGCAGCCCCCATCCACTTTCAATGAATGAAAGAGAGCAACATAAACATTGTTCAAAACAAATTCTTTATGCTCCACAGATGAAAACCCATCATATACAGGTTTGGAACCACATGAGAGCAAGAAAATGTATGTTTATGTTTGAGGTGAACGGTCCCTTTAGGTTTGTTCATACTAACCTGCACCATGATCACCTCTCCAAAAGTGCCGAAGTAATCTTTAAGGTCTTGCTCTGTTGTTTTCCACGGCAACCCAAGCACAATCAAATCTGATGTCTTCTGCACACCTCTCTTGATCTTCACAGCCGATGCAGCATCCATTTCATCCATCTTCCTCTTGTTATCTGAAAATGTATGACATTTTATTATTATGGTTATTTGATTTATTTAAAGACAATCAACTAGATTGAATTTACATGCACAATATGCATTAGTAGTGGAATAAGTGTGTGAATGACATCAGACCATATTTTCTGTGCAGCAACAAGTCCCAAATTATTTGATGTTACTGCAATCAAACAAACGCAACACTACCATATCTGAGCTTACCTTTTGGATAATTGACCACATACACCAGATTGCCCCAGTCTGATTCGGGTGCATGAAGAACCCCCTCTACTAGTCGGACCCCTCTCATGCACTGAGACACGGGGCTACGGTATCGAAGGCCGCAGGCACCGGGAAACTGCGCGGAGACGGTGGAGAGCAGCACGGTGCCGTCCTCCTCGGACGGGATCTCCATCGGCTCCTCGTTCTCGTCCTCCGCGACGCGAATGTAACACTCCGTCATGTTTAACGTTACACTGAGAGCGCGAGCTGTGCTAACAGCTTCCGAGCAGATCAATAATTCAGCTATAAGACAACAAACGGTGCTGAAACCGAAACTAGTACACCGGAAAGACCTCAGAAGTAAACACAACCACAAATCAGTTGGCAACAAGTCTAATGTCTATTGTTTACGAGCGACTGTCGTCAAATAATGCAGTGTGCCACTAGCTCAGCTAAGCTACTTGCTAACCGCGCGCACGATAGAAATGAATGGCTCGTAGCGTCGCACCCTGTTCCCGCCAATTGTCACCGTGTGCAAACACCTACTCATCGACTATACTTGATTATCTACCGATTGTGATTAAAACACGCAATGTAAAGTAATAAAAAATAAAGAACGCGTGGACTCATGCATCCAGTTGCCGCTCCGACCCCCAAAACTGATAAAATGGCCACCCAGATGCGTCACCGCAGAAATGTCATCATCAGTTTGGAGCGTCGCATCACAGCACGTGGAGGGGTTTGTAAATGTAAAACGTTGACTTTTTAAACGCATAACGTAGTTTGTGGTATACTGTTTCAGATGGTGTGATTTTATCGTGTTTGTTCGTGATCTTGATGGACCGGCAGGGTCGTTATTTTTATTTAAGGATGTTGAAATCATGTCAAATATGCAAGAATCCACTGTAGTATTGAAAGCTTCTCCTCATATCACATCTTACAGGTTTGTTACATCAGTTTAGAACAGACAAAAGCCCTAAAAAACAATGGATTTAAAGACAAAGGCTTTTATCATTATGTGTGCAACAGAGTTGATTCAAATAATCTGTGTATGTATAACAAAACAAACTTGAAACAACTAAATATATTGGTTACTTTAATTTTATATATGTATATAACATTCAGTTGAAAGGCTTCATCATACAATGTCTGGTTTCACTTGTGGTATCTGAAATGGTTTGATCAGCCATCTCATGGGTGTTGTTAAGATTTACAATTGTTTTTATAGTTTTATGTATGACAGTATGACACAGCCAGGTTTACATCATACTGCCTACAATGATGTTATCAATATTCATTCTACCTATAAACATGCAATTTTATATCACAATCCCATCTGAATTATTGTGCTGTAATCTTGCATAGTTTTTGCTAACAACTGTTAACTCATGAAGTGGCCCTGACGTTTTTATTGGAAATGGTTCAGCCTCATGTGAGTTAGAATGCCATGCAGGTGCAGGTTTCCCTCCTTTCATTGCTTTTTCACACTTGTACGTGTTGTATAATTTTATAATGAAGTGGGTCAGCCTTGCTCTCACACTCACTTGTAACCTACAAGGCCAAACACAGCTGACTTGTTAGCAGTATAAAAGCACTTGTATCACCCCTCTGTGCACAAGAACCAAATGAGCCATGGCGCTGATGCTCACAAGTGTTTTACTTCTTTCATTGTAAGTTGCTATATGCTTATGCGTTTAGTATTTTCTCCTGTAATATTACTACAATTATTATTGTTTTCCTTTTTCTTCACATAGACACTTCATTTTGCCCATATGGGGAAATGTTTTGCGACTTCAGAAGAGAGACTGGGTGGGCAGTCCATCTTCAAGCATGACAGGTAATTATTACTTTACTACTATTTTAGTTACTATTTATGCTGTAGCAAAAGAATTAAAACTGACTTGAGTTTTACTTTTCTAGAGGGTGATGTGGAGTGTTTCTCTGAGTACATGGAGCTTTGGATCCATAGAATGAGAATTGAGGGACTGAGGCTTTGGCTTTCTGGAATATTACGAATTCAAGGTGAGCTATATGGACATTGCATTTCTGAACTTAACACAAGAGAGGAAAACCTGTCAAAATAAATGCTTTTTGGAAAAAAAAATATAGTATCCACATTACATATTTTACACTTTGATATAGTATGTTATTTATACTAAATGTAGGATAAGGCACTCGAGACTGACAGATTATTCTTTATTATTTGGTTAAGATCCCGCTTTATGTACTTTGTCAGAATGTAATGTCTGTAAAACACATCTTATTGGATTGTATTGATGTTATTCCTTTCAGGAAATATTGTTATTCTGCTGATATTATAGAAATAGTTTTTAATAAAAATAGCGCACCATCAATTTGATTAAAAATGCATATTAAACCATCTTATTGGCCACAAAAATAGACTTTGTTGGCAAACAAACAAATAATGTTTATATCAGAAATAATAACGTGTTCTCAGACTGTTGCACAAAATAATAACTTGAAATATTTTAAAATAATAGTATACAAAATATATTAATGTAATTGTACTATATAAGAAATGCATAATCTTAAATATTAACTAAAACTTTCTTAATAATATTAAAGACGCTTAATATATTAATCTTATTACTTTAAGAAGTCCGTATGTCGCACAGTAAGACAGACAGTGTAAGGTGTGAGCATGACCACTATTTTAAACCGCAATAATAATAATAATAATAAAAAGTTAATTTTTCTATGCATTATGTATTTCAAAATGTGTTCTGTGCACTAGTTTCATAAATCTTGTGCTCTTTTCAGTGGGTTTGGTGTCCATGGAGAATCTGAACCATCAGCTTTCTTCATGTGGGTTTGCCCTGCACAGAGATCTGGAAAAGAACTATATCTTTAGAGTCATGTACAGTGGATGTTTTGTCCAGTTAGAGGTTAGAAAATGTCCTCGTTTGTCACTGAAACATATTCGCTTCTGCAGTGTGTTGCTGGTAAGAATCTGTCCCTTTTTATCAATGCTTCTCAGAATAACATTTTATAGTGATTTTTTTCTGCATTGCAATTATGTGATTGTGCTGAACCTGCTGAAGAGACTAAGTCGTTTAGGAGGCAGGACTCAAAAGTTTCTGATGAAGTGTCCAGCGGTGTTAGCGCCTCCTAACAGAGAGTACATCCAGTGTGATTCAGACTTCATTCAGGTAAGAATAAAGTGATGTGATCATTCTTTTTTTCCCCCTTCCATTTAAAAAAAAAAAATAATAATAATTTGTGTGTGTTCAAGGTTACCAGAGAGATCCCTGTGGATAACTGGAATAACGAGGTAATTTCTAATAAATGTTTTGATATGTGAGGTTATGAAGAGATGAATGTATCTAATGTGGAATATTTCTGATGTGATTTTTCCATTCAGCTGGACTGGTCTCTGGCCTTGAGTGGGAGTCTGGTGGTGGCTTTGGAGGATTCCAGTCTTATTCAAGTAAATGTTGAAATGCACAAACCAAACATAACAGTTCAGGGGAGGAGAGACACCATCTTAAGTCCTGTGCAGGTAAGACTGTGCTAGTTTGTGGCTGGGAGGATTTGTAGTAGTTTATCAGTAGAGCAAAAACTCCTTTGGAGTTGAATTTTTTATATATATATATATCACTTTTTATCTTTATAAGGCTATTTGAAGAATATAAAATCATTCTGTGTGATATGTTAAATAAAACCGCATTTATTTGAATATATTTCTTTAAACAATCAGTATTTTTAATGTCACTTTTTTTTTATCAATTTGCTGCATCCTCACTGAATAAAAGTATAAATTTCTGAGAGAAAAATCTTGCTTAGTAGGTATTCCAAAAAAGGAAAAGGGGCAATTAATTATTTTCAATGTCAGGAGTATTTTTGTCACTGAAACTGAGACTTGGTAATTTTTTTCTGACTGTGTCTGAACTAGAATTATTTACTAAATTGTGCCACCTAATGGTCTGTAATTGAATAGCATATTTTTGGCTTAGCTCATACAGGACCAAATGCTTAATCCTTTGTGCTTATGTTGAGTTAAAAGTATCCAAACTGACTGAAAAATTACCTCTGAACCACTTATTTAATTCATTGTGTGCTTTAAACAGTGCAGCAGCAGCAGGTTGATTTTCATTAAAAGTCTACATATCTTTTAGGTGTTCATATCGGAAGGACATTTCTTACCTCTCAAACTGGTCAGTGGCCATTATGCCTACAGTATGGAGGCGACCTGCCCAAACGGTTTGTTATTATGGTCATATCATGGCACATATCTTGCTTATTTTGCAAGGTTTTATCACTTACATATTTAATAGACATTCTGCATGTTTTTTTCAGTGAACCAGTCATCATCTGAAGACACGGTGCTGCATGTCTATAAACGGCGTATGGGTTTGACCAAAAGAGGTGGATATCAAAATGAGACCCTGTCAGTCAGCAGTGTGATTGTGGAACAGACTGACACATTCACCTGGTCAGAGACAAGTGACTTTGTGCAGCTTATCATTCACACATCCCACATTCAACAGAAAAAGGTTAGAAGTTTATAATTTTATATACACTACCGTTCAAAGGATTGTTCGAAAGAAACCAATATTTTTCTTCAGCCATGTTGCCTTGAATTGATCAAAAATGACAGTAAAGGTATTTAAATTGTTACAATTTCTTTTTATTTCAAATAAATGCAGTCCTTTTAATCTTTCTTTTCATCAGAGAAAACTGTTTTAACATTGATAATGAGAAGAAATGTTTCTTGAGCACCAAATCAGCAAATTATAATAATGAGACACTGAAGAAAATAATGGAGTAATGATGCTGAAAATTCAGCTTGGCAAGCACAGAAATAAATGACATTGTAAAATATATTAAAATAGAGAACAGTGATTTTAGTGTCTTCAATTTATCTGAATACAAATAGCATATTTTTATTTTATTTTATTACAAATATTTCTAAAATACATTTTTTTATATAAAAATAGTTTTGCATTTTAGAGCTTTGAAATTAGGCTTTTTGCATTTTGATTTCATTTTATTAAAAATAAATAAATATAATAATTTCTAATTAGGTAAAATCTGGTAATTGGTTCAAATATGCCATCCATTTTTTATATATTTTATTCAGTTTTTTAGGAGTGCATTGGTCAGGCAGGCGAGAAACTTCAGCAAAATTTCTACAAGATAGATGCTGTTCTCACCTTTAAAGAGGCAAATCACAAAATGCACTGGACCATGGAAAACACCTCCCCTTGTTCAGGTTAGTAAGTCTGCTCAAAAAGTTCCTGAGTCATTTCAAGGTGCTTTTTTAAAAAATTCATTGTGTGCTTTAAACAGCAGGTTGACTTGAAGCACCTAACCATGTTCAAGTTAGTTAGTCTTTAACGGTCCTTAATCAAGTATTCAGAACTTCCAAGTTGCTACAATTGTTTTTCAGAGATATTAAAATCGCACCTCCATTTAATCCGTGATGACCCACAAGAAGCTAATGTGACTGCACATTCACCCGAGGGGGTTACAGGCAAGCCAGAAGTTCCTGTTAGTTCAAACAAAGAGTTTACTCCTTCTGTGGCACCAGAGACTGTATCTACAGCATCACAGACAGCTGATGAGGAAACCAGCATCACCTCGGTACAATCCCAACAACTCCAAACAACTGAGGCTCTTAGTACATCATTGAGTGCTTCAATGCGATGCAGAACGGATGGAAATGCAGGTACCAACTGCACATGTGTCGGTGATTTTCCAAACAACACTATTACTATTGGTAGTCCATTAATCACAACAGATGTAATCACAGTTTGAAATACAGCTACACATTTAAGCGGCATTTTCCCTCAGTCTGGGATTTACAACACAACAGTCAAGTGGACCCATGCATCTTTTCCGTTGACAAGCAAAGTGCCGCTGGAATCACATGTGGGGAATGATTACATCCAAGACTGTGTTGGTCATGCCATTTAAATACGAACTACTGTCTCGGAACTCCCTCAGCTGTGTGCGTCACATCTCAGAAATAAATGTGGTGTCTAGTATTAAAAAAAATTGGTGTTTATTCTCAAGTTGCACAATAACTAGCCCTATCGGTGACTCGCTTCCCTGAAAAACAGAAAGTGTCTGGCAGTTTAGCAGTTGAAGCTCAATACTAAGCTCTCTACTTTATTTCCTTGAGCATAAAATAGTATCTTTAATACAGTTTCTATGGTCTTCCGTAATCTTATGATCATATACGTAGATGTATTTAGAGCTGTATAGATTGTTTATTTATTATGTTGCTCTCTGGAATACACTTTTCTAATTTGTCAATCACAACATTCATATATTGCTGCATATTATTTTGATAATCAAAGTAGTAAACATTGGGTCTCCATCAACTATCAGTTCATAGTTATACTAAAACACAAAAATTATCTTATTTTAAAAAGTGTACAGTATTGTTTACTGTATACTGGCATCCATAATAAAACAAATTGGACATAATAACAATAGAAAACAAAAGATTGAACACAATTACTTCACTCTTTGAATTAGTTAAATATTTGGACATTTAACACTTAGGGCCTACACATTGGCATTATTTTCATATCTCTTTATCACACTGCGGACTCACTCCCACCTGTTTCTTGCAACTGGCACCTTCTTGCATCTCAGTTATCGATATTAGTAGAAATGACCCCAGTAATATCACTGTTATATTGTTGTAGTGTTCAGTTTGTTGCTAATCTGATTTTATACCTTTTTAAATGGACTATTTTCTATGCATTATCCCTTTCATAGATTATGTATATAGATATATGGTATATTAAATACTGTAGGTTTCTTTCTGGAAAAAATTAAACAAATGATATTATGAATGATATGTAATCTGGATTAACACACAGCATTTATTGAGTAAAACCAGTGGGGTGTTTGTGTTCTGGATGATCATAATGTGAACCACAGATGCCATCTTGCTGAATCCTGCCATGTGGCAGGTATTTTATTTAAGGATGTGATCTCTGTTGTGATACATTAATTTTAGTTGTAATTTTTAAATATACGTCTTGGTCTTTTTAGTTTCCAGTTACAGTAAATGCTGACTATCTCTTTGTGGCAGTATGATGAATGGCCAGAAGAGGTCAGTGTTGTTCAATGTTTGGCTTTTGCTGAAGATTCCAAGGCAATGAGCAATGTGTCTAAAACGGAGCATTTTGAGGTCAGTGTCAGTTGTTCAAAAGGCGTATATATGTTTTACACATATGCATGACTGACACTTTATGTGCTTAATTTTTTTTATTCATAAGACATAAATACTGGGCATTGATGTACATTCTTAGATTTAGTGGGAAAACAACCTCAGATGTGAGGTTAGTTAATTTGCCTTTACTACGCAATTTCCCATGCTTGAATGAATTCAATTAGACTTTTGAAAGGGCAGGCCATTTTAATGTAGCCCAGTCAAGATATTCTTCTAAATTCTGAGCATCTGGAAGAAAGACCACTGACACTCGTAAAATTTATTGTGATTACAGTCTCGATATTTGAGCAAACCAAAGAACACCCTTTCTCATCCTGATCGCGTTTGTGTCTAACAGTATGTGTTCTATATTAAATGACAAAACAAGAGCACATTTGTATGCAATGGATATTGTGTCCTCTAGAGCTTTGCACTCTGGCACAGTGTAATTTTCACCCAGGGGGTCAGAGGGGGGCCACGCCGCCAGAGTTTTCTTTGGCATCTGTTGCATGAACTTGTGAACAGGAAACACAATAACAGCACAAAGTACACCAACATCTCAAGTCTTTCATGCGGCTGTTTTGAGCTATTATGTTATTAGTGTAGGCTTAAAAATTCCTTTCATGTTCCCCTCCTTTTCTTTTTCATACCAGTTGCACATCTGTGAGATGTTTGAAACCACACACTGGTTAAATTTGGCATTGCTTTCAGAGATGTTTTTAATTGTTATAATTGATAACGATATGAGCTAAACATTCACACATTAACAAAACTTTGTTCTTGTGTATATATATATATATATATATATATATATATATATAAAAGATTAATTACAGACCTTCTAATGATATACATAAAATCAAGAATAATACTATATATATATATATATATATATTAAAATAAAAAATATTTTTTATTAATATAAAAAATATATATAATTTATAAATGTCCCCTTTGACTTTAATTATAGGAAATTGAGAAAATGTTCTGTAATTAAAATAGAAAAAAGGGAAAAAATATTTTTATGTAATGTAATATATAAAAATTGTAAACCTAAATATATAAACCGACATTATAGATTAGTAAATCATGACAATTTATGTTTTTTTACATTAACTCAACAAAATGAATTAAGTAAATGTAACTTTTTTTCAATAAGTTATGTGAAATTTAACTATATTTTTAATAATGTAATTTAAATTAAAAGGACTTGTATATTTGTATATACTTAATTTAAAGCAGCAACTGAACTTTTTAAAATTTTTACAGAGTTTTTCTGGCTCTGGTTTGTAAAAGCAGTCTTACTATTGTGGCTCAATTTGTTGAACCAATTCAGCAATGAGCTTTCCACAACAGGACAAGAGCTGGCAGACGAAAGAGGCTCTTGGAAGGGAAGGGAAGGCTTTGGTGGTTACGCTCTGACTCTTTATCTTACTTGCTGGGCAATTACAGAATCATGGGTCAACCATGCATGTAACCACAGCTTCGTTGCACAGTAGCAGATGTACTCATGGCATTAGCTGGTAGGAGCGTGAAGGTAAACATAAACAGATGCAGCTGGTTGCTAGGGACACTCGCCAACTTGTGTGCCCTAATGATTCCCATGTGTGCGGGTGCAGATCTGCAGCAGTGGGCAGAATGCAGGCATACGCTGTGTTTCAGAGTTTCTCAATGGGATATTTGTGAATGAGTTTAGCAGCAGTGGTTTTTGGGAGGGTGTTCCCTGTTGGCATCGTGCCCCTCCTAGTAAGTTAAAGCTGATTAAGCCGTTTTCTCTGTGTTTTCAATTTGCCATTGGTTATAATGTTTTGAAATGAATGGAAAAATATTTTTTATTAGTGTGCCACATGAGTGGTATGAAGAGATTGCTCTTAAAGCCCATTTGCTTTCGCAAAAAATTGTCATTTTATTGCATACATCATTGTATAACGAAGATGAATGTAACATCTATTTGTGGTTGTGCATTAGGCCTAATCTACAACTTCCCATTTGCGTGTCATACAAAGCAATTCCAAAAATAGCCCAAGACATATAATGGATGCTTCATGTTAGTTCATAATACAACTGTGGGCTCCGAAAGTCTGAGACCACATTGAAAATTTGAGATTACAAATCTAATTTAATCCTGCAAATATAATTTTTTTGGATTTTTAATGTCATATAAATAAGAAACATTTAAGTATTCAATTAAACTTTTCAGTCAGATTGTTATGCTAATAGAGTAAATTATAATAGAAAAATTGAAACATTTTCTCTAGTTGACTTTTGAACCCACACTACCACTCAAACTTTTGAGGTTGGTAAGATTTACATTTTTTTGATTTAAATGTATTTAATTGAATACATTTTATGCATTTTTTTTTGTTTCAAGATTGTTCGAATAAAATGGTTATAAGAACAGCATTTATTTAAAATAGTAATCTTTTGTAACATTATAAATATACATGTCTTTGCTGTCACTTTTGATTACTTTAATGCATCCTCACTGAATAAAAGTATTAATTTCTTAAAAATAAATAAACTAAGGTGATGTAATTTATAAAAAAAACAAACCATTAAAATTTGTAGCATTTTTAATAAAAATTAACATTTTTGTTAATGGTCTCTTACTTAGGAACTCCACTTATAGCAAATAAAACAAACTACTTTTTTTATTATTATAACATCTTTTTAAATATTTCTATACACAAGCTGCTTTTCTCAGTGTAGGCTAAGGAAACAAAAAATGTTTTTCAAAGGCAGCCATGGTAATTTTTCAAAGGTTATATCCAATGCAGTCTTTGGTGTAATTCTGTGACGATGAAGAATCACATGATCACTTGTGCTACCTACCTTTCATCTTTTTTTCTTTTCTGACTGTGACAGGTATGCAGCGGTAAGCAGGACAGACAGATTTAGATTTAACTGTGACACACATTACACTGTCTTGTCTTGGTCTAAGCTAAAATCTATTAAGCAGGCGATGTTTGCAGTATAGGTGAAGCGATATAGTTCACAGAGGCCTGGTTTCGGCGATTGTAGGTTTGAACTAGTTTCGTACGTGCCTGATGTTGCAGTGTCTGGGAGGTCCCTTTTTGAACCGTGTCCAGGCCTGTAGCCCAGATGAGATCTTTAGGAAGGGGCTCAGTTTTTGTGATATCCTGTGTGTGTTCGCCATCTGATTACACACAAGGCCCGATTCCTCTCTGTGAGTGTGTGTTAATGACATCCAGGTTAAACAGACTTCCAAAGAGCTTCGTGGAACCAAAGCGAAGGCTGATATTTTGATTAGAAAACGATTTTGCTTCCATCCACTGCTTCTGTTCGACTGGAATGAGTAGCTCCAGATCTCGGTGTCAAACTCCCCCACTCTCCCTCCCCTTCTCCCTGCATCCTCTTTGCCGTGAAGCCCTCTGCCAACAGCCTGCGCCTCTCCTCTCTCTCTCATTAACCACAACTGTCAGATCCTCCAGATGATGAGCAATTAAACCAGATAATAAACGCTTGCCATCAATTCCTGTTTGTTTGTTGTTGTTGTTGTCGTTGGCGGCAGGGGCTCCTCTCATGCCACCTTAGCGCTAACTAGTACTTCTGTAATGCATCAGCGGTAGCAGAATCGCTCTCTCAGAGCCTTCTGCCAACACTAACAAAGCTCTAACTGCTCATTGTAAGGCACCAGATTGATAATAAGGCACACTGAATGTTAACAATTAGATCATAATCAGAGCCAGCACGCCAAGGCTGCTCTTTTATCCCCTGCTTGAAAGAATGGCAAACAAAGCTCTGCAAACTGCTAAGATAAAAATATTAGCTCTGAATAATCATGTCTCTCAGCTACCAAAAGTCACGTAAGCTGTACAGCGCCACG